TATTCTCTGAGATCAACCAGGGAGGCCCCTCTTGTTTCCTTCTGTAGAGAGAGAGATGGTGGTAGTCAGCTAATTTTTTTACTCAGAGTAGACCCACTGAAATTAATGAAGTTAGGTCCATTAATTTCAATAGGTCCACTGTGCATTAAACTTAGTTGAATACCACCCAGCCTCAATTTCTGCCACTAATTTTTCAAAGCCTATTGTTGATATGTCTCTATTCAGAGAACATGAGGGGGAGATTTGCCTGGCATTTTCCAATAAACTCACGATTAGAAATCTCAGGCCTTGTCTCTGTTGCTATGCTGAAGGTCAGCTACAATGCAACAAAAGGAATTCACACCTGCCATATGATAAGAGACCAGCTATGAGCACCTGCTATTATCCTTCCTTTCCCAGAACCCAAGCACTGTCCCAAGAATAATCAAAGTTATGCAATATCATCCATTTAATTGTTCAAGCCCTCAAACAAGCCAACAATGGCCAAAATGAACCCACTCATGTCAAAATGGGTGTGACCAAAGTGTAAAAGTGGGTGTGGTCAATTAATATTTTTTTTTCAGAGCAAGGAAAACGTTCAGGGGATGACAAAAATAACCTTTTGGCTTCACAAAATCACAGTAGAAGACCCATGGGAGTGAACTGTTTCAATAATTCTTGGGTTGTATTCAACTAGGTTTAACTGAGAGAAGATCTATTAAAAGTAATGAACCTAAATTAGCCATGTCCATTACTTTCAATGGGTCTGCTTTGAGTAAGACTAGCACTGGATACATTACTGTTTAAAAAATTATGAAATTTGGAAGGAGAGACCAAAAAAAAAGACAACTTTTGGTATCATAGTAGGGTGTGAGAGCAATAAGTGTGTGTGTGTGTGTGTGTGTGTGTGAATGAATGAAATACGTAAAAATTAAATAGACAAATGGACAAATTTGGAGGGTCTTGAAGGGCCACTAAAAACTTTTTAACGGGATCTATGGGAGCAACAATAATTTTTACAAAAAAATATTTTCTAAAAAGTAACCATATGGGGAGCTGGATGTGACCTGTCTTTGACCTAAAGTTTGCTGAAAGTCGGATGCTTCATACAGTTTTGGAGTTCTTCTCTGTGTCTCACCCCTCCTTCCCAAGGTCTTTCCTATATCCCAGAGCTGCATCTGCTGAAATGTGCTTTTTTACAAGACAAAGGTATTAGAGCCTTGTCCTCTTTTTCACCTGGGCCAACTAATTCTACTAGCTTAAATAGGCAGCCTCCAGTGTGAGGTATAGTTCCTAACTGGTATCTGTGAGGAGTGGTTTTACAGTGCTTCCAAAAGATACAGAGGCTCATGTTCAGGCAAGTCACTAGGGGAAGGGAGTTCCCCACTGAGACAGCTGCTGAGAATACGATTTATTGGCTGAACTTGGCAGAAGCGTGATAGTACTTGGTTGATCTTACAGATCATAACTGTAGCCCTGTTCGCACATCTATGTCGATTTCCTGACAATGCATAAGGCTGGGGTTCCTAAATTGTGGTGGTCCACAAACTTCATGCAGGTGGCTTGCAGTATACCCACGTTAAATATTCATTGTGATGTTTAACTCCATTTTATTGCTTCATTTATTTTTTTATATTGCATGTTCTTGAGTAACAATTCGAATTATATGGAAGTGCAAATAGTGAATACAATACAAGAAATAAAAGCAACAATAAAAGGACAATAAAAATCAGACAGCATCACACATTACAATTGCTACAACAAACAGAAAAATCACTTAGTGGTCCGGCAAGACCATCATCAATTTTCAAGTGGGGGGAGGGGACTTTGGGAGAGGACCACTGAAATAGGATATTCATGTGACGAAGAGGGCAGAACTGCTTTAATGCATTGCGCACGATGCCTACTGATAGGCTTTCTTGTACGCAACTATTAAAGTGCAGAGTCCTTGCCCCCCCCCACCCCTTTTTCATTCAGTCACCATAATCATGGTCTTGTGCAGTGCCTTTTTGCTAGGAAAAAAAGGTGCCGATAATCACCAGGTTCATAGAAATCTGCATGGGGAGGGTAGTTGCCGCCCCCCATCAAGTAAAAAAATAAAAAAATATTTAACTGACAAATTACCTCACAGAGAACTCGGTCCTGCCCCCCTAACATAAAGCCTGCCCCCCTAAAATAAACCCATGGTGATCCGCCACTCTTTTCACAGGTGTATCGCAGGACCTCCCAAAATGTCCAGTCTGATGAGCCAGCAAGCCAGCTGCCTGCCCTGCCCCATCCCGTCCCCTCAAAGCTCTGATCTTGTGTCATAGCTCCTCAAAACGTAATGTTCACACTTTCCCACTATGAAGAATGGTCAAGTCATTAATCTACCTCCTTGGCCAACAACTCATTTTAGCAGGTTCCTTTTTGAACTGAGCAAAGCTGAAGAACCAACAAGGGATGGCTGCATCTGGCCTAGAAGGTCACATCCCATTCCCCTATCACGGAGCTATCCAATGACTCACTGAAGGCAGAATGCTAAGACTCCTCTGGCTTCAATTCTCCATCATGACAGGGAAGCAATTCTCCATCATGCCAGGGAGCACTTCACCTGTTACTTTTCAGTCTGTCATGCATGAGTCCTGCTAGGAAAAAATAGAGGTACAATTCCCAGAGTCCCCCTGGGAAGTGGGGTTGATTGTTAAACCACTTTGGGAATTGTAGCTCTGTGAGGGGAATGGGGTCTCCTAATAACTCTCAGCACCCTTAACAAAACTAGTTCCCAGGATTATTTGGGGAAGACTATGACGCGGGTGGGGCTAAAGGGACGCGGGTGGCGCTGTGGTCTAAACCACACAGCCTAGGGCTTGCTGATCAGAAGGTTGGCGGTTTGAATCCCCACAACAGGGTGAGCTCCCGTTGCTCGGTCCCTGCTCCTGCCAACCTAGCAGTTTGAAAGCACATCAAAGTGCAAGCAGATAAATAGGTACCGCTCCAGCGGGAAGGTAAATGGCGTTTCCATGCGCTGCTCTGGTTTGTCAGAAGTGGCTTAGTCATGCTGGCCACATGACCTGTCTGCGGACAAATGCCGGCTCCTCGGCCTATAGAGCGAGATGAGTACTGCAACCCCAAAGTCGTCCCCAACTGGACCTAACGGTCAGGGGTACCTTTACCTTTTTGATTGTTAAACCGGTACAGTAATACTTTACATATATGTTTTGGTTATGGCCATAGTTACTCCAGATTTAACCGCCTTTCATCAAGGTTATTGCTCATACCATTAACCAGATACCTTTTTATTGACCTCACAATCAGGGTGATAGAAAGATTGGAGTTTTAGCCTATTGATCTCCATACAGGTTGACTGCTGCATAATAAGATCACACCCTTGAACTCTGCATTATGATGCCATGTTATTGTGCCATACATAGTTCTCTCCATCAGCTTGGCTGGGACCAACTGCCATTTGACTCCTCGCTTCCCAGAACTGTCTTTGCCACTGGGGCCATTATGTAACAATTTACGCATTTATTTATTTACTGTACTTTACTTGTTTAACCTACTGTCTTTCTGCTGGTGCCCTTCAGGTGGTCTGTCATTCAAAATAATGACATACAATCTAATAGATGGGATTCAAAAAGAAAAAGGGTCAGGAGGGAAGAGGATAATAAGCAAATTCAGGTACCAACTCTTCTTCTTACTTATTTTCCTCTTCCCATCTCTTTTATTATAGTTCTAACAGATTTTCCACCATTATGGCCGATCATTCATTCTGCTCTTGGCAGTGTTTTGGGGTATTTGAAGGGGGCAATACTAAATAGCCTCCTCCTAACTTCTAATGTGTCTACAGCATGCATTGAAACAGGAGTAAAAAACGAACTTCTTTTTGAGGAGTAAATTTATCTGTGTTGATTCATGTAATGGCATACTGTACTGGTTTTAAAATCAAGGGATGGGCCTCAAGTTTCAATGAGGTTTGAGTGCCAGATGGCGATTGCTATGTTAAGTGGTTTTAAACTCTATAAAATCCCTAGACTTGGTTCAAGTTAAGCCCTCCTTCAGATTAAATCACCCAGACTATAAGGGGTTCGAAGCTTTGTGAAATAGTCCCAATTTATGTATAGCACCATCTATCTCTGTACTCTGTATCTGCACAGAGCACAAGTCCCTGCTGCTAGCAGCTTACAAATAAAAAAAACCATACAGGTTAGAGAACAGATGGCGAAGAAAATGAAGGCTGTAGTTAAAATTGTAGGGATTTTTTTTTTTAATTTTTCATGTATTTAGGCTTAAACTCCCTAAGAAAGGAGGCCTCATTAGCGAATACAGTTGGTTCTTACTTCTGAGACAGGGTTGCAGAGAAAAGTGGGCCTGGCGATGAAGGGTCCTTCAGTGAAGGAGGATGTTTCCTAATCTGTCCAGACATGATTTAGGCCAGGCATAGGCAAACTCGGCCCTTCAGATGTTTTGGGACTACAACTCCCATCATCCCTAGCTAACAGGACCAGTGGTCAGGGATGATGGGAGTTGTAGTCCCAAAACATCTGGAGGGCCGAGTTTGCCTATGCCTGATTTCTGCACTTAATTCCGTTTTAGGGCAACTATGCTCCGTGTGAGCTCCCCTCATCCACATCCAGAATAGAGAAAGGCATCCTTTTTTCCCCAATTTCTTTTCTTCTCGCGCTTCATTATCATGTGGTCTTTTAACATATCATTGCCCTTCTGTCGGCCGTCGTCATGTTATTTTTATTATTATGTATGACAGTCATGCCATGACCCGGCTTTCGTCGTCCGCTTCTGCTGTTTTGTGCCGCGAGCGGTCGGCGCGAGCCTCTCAGGCGCAGATTCCCCTCAGTGGGGACAAGGCCGCGCGCCGCCGCCGCCGCCTTGACCTCAACCGCCACGTTTCCCCGTCTTGGCGAGGCGGAGCCGCCTCAGCTCGGGCCCGCCCGCCGCTCCACCCGAAGGCGGAGCTTCTCCGCTTCGCCCGCCCGCCGCTTTCTCTTGTCCTCGTAGCCGGGTTACATGGCAAATAGCCGCGGCGGGAGCAGGGCTTCTGTCGGTGGCGCCGAGACCCTTCCGCCAAGGCCCGGCGGCGGAGCTCCGAGGCTTCTCTCTCCTTTCTCCATGAGCCTGGGCAGCGCCGTGAGTTGCGGGAAAGCGGCGGGCGGCGGGTCCGGCATGGGAGGCGGAGACGGAGGGCCGAGAGCAGCGGCGAGGCTCGGGCCGCAGTGCGAGCGGTCTCGCTCCCGCCGCCACTGCACAAAGGCGCTTTGTTCTGGCGCCTCCCGCGCGCCCTGCCGGGGCCTCTGCCCGGCGGGGGAAGCCCGGCCAGGCCTTCCGCAGTGCGGCGGAGCCTCCCCGGCGGCCGGTGCTCGGTGCCCAGGGAGGACCGGAGGGTTGAGGAGTGGAGGGTGGGAAAGCGAGAAGAGAAACCCTGGGGCCGCTTCGTGGCGGCCCTTCCCGCCTCTGAGAAGCGAGGAGGAGGAGGAGGCTTCGGGGAAAGGGCAAAAGCCCCGCCGTCTCCCGTTTCCTCGCCCCAAGCCCGGGACAATGGAGGCCGGCGAGGGGAGACGCGCTTCGGGGGCGGCGGGCGGTCCCGCGTGGCGGCCATTCACGCCGCCCCCACGAGGCCTCTCGCAGTACCCCGATCCCAGGCACGCGTTGGTTTTTGTTACTCGCGGGGAAGCCCCACTGAGTTCGGCGGGACTTTCTCCCCCGTGAGGAGGCGAAGGCCGGGTGGCATTTAGCCTGGGGCCCTTTCGCACCCGTCTCCGAGTAGATCCCCGCAAAGGGGCCGCTCTCTTCTCCTTGGATCCGTGATCATAACCCTCCGGCGTGGGTTTAACGCGCGAACGGAGCTTACTTCCGTGTAAAAAAGCCGCATAGGGTTGCGTTGTGAAAGCTGGCGACCCTGGGCATGCTTTGCTTGGGAATGGGCGAGGCTTACTTCCGAGTAAACACTGCCTGGCCGACCTTTTTTGTTTGTTTTTAAAGTGGACGGAAAAGGGGTTTTCTGATCACCACGAAGGCGGATCAGTGACGCGTTCGCGGATTTCTTCATCTCTGGAGTGGGAAGGATGCGTTAGGCGGGTGTCGCCCGACGTGGAAGTCTCCGTTGCGAAACAAAATTGTCTGCCCAAAAGGGGCCTGTCCCCGTCTGCTCTTTCCCCCCTTCCCCCGGTGGCCACCGGGCACTGCGGCACTTGGCGGCTTCCCTCTCGCCCTTAGGACACTCTTCATTCATTTCCCGGCCTCCATTCTCCTGCTCTGCGCCTTTAGAAGCAACTCCTTGCAGTGTTTCTTTTCATCCAGAGGAACTAGAGAATCCGACTGCCCCCTTTCCCTTTTATCTTATGGGCACTTGCCTCCTCTATTTAAAAACTGCCCCAGGAAAGCAGCAACTTGTGGTGTGAAAAGCAGTTGCGGTATAATAACGACAGAGGTTTTAAGGGGGGCCCTGCAGTTGACTGGAGCTGTGGATTTTTTCCCCAGAACCTTTTCTCTTTCTCTCGTTCCCCCCCCCCCCCATCACCCCTTTCCCTTTGTGGCAACTGAAAGACATCCGAAGGTAGATTTTTCTGTGACAGTGGCATCCAAGACCTTGTTTAAAGTATCAGGCCCACCCAACTAGTAAAGGGTTTAATAATAGTTGTGTGTAACAGTGACATGGAGGAGGAAAATATCCATTGTGGCAAAGAGGCTGTGGCAGAAGGATTGTTAGGAGACAAAATAATTGCAGGCAAGTGAACTTTTTTTGCCAGTGGTTTTCCAGGATTGCTACATGCAAGAGCTGTTCTGGTTCCCTGTCTCTTATTGGGAGGGCCCAGGATCACTTTACAGTTTGTGTGGTTCAGTCAGACGGAGGCCTGTATATAGCTTTTCTCTAGAAAGCACATAGACAGAGGCATGAGAGTAGGTCCTAGAACATGAGAGTAGGGAACCAGAACAGCTCTATTGGAAGTCTCTTTTTGAAGAAAATTATATTCTCCTTTAATTTACAAGTAACTGCAGGATACTGTTATGCATTTTTACTCAGAAGTATGTCCCAGCAATGGAACTTAGAAGCACGCGCAAAGGATCGTAGGCTAAATGAAAGAAAATGAGCCTGCATTGGGCCATACCAGAGGGGCCCTTAATCTCAGATTAACTATTGAAACTTCATGGTGATAGTGCTGTAGGCAGTTTGGGGTGGCTAAAATCACTTGCCTTTAATCCAGGTTAATTACTTAATTATTTTCTAGCATAGAAAATGAAAAGGTAGTGGGTTATATAACCATTCAAGCAAGAAGTAGTAGTTTCTATTATGTGCTGCCATCTACTTTTTGTGAACCCCTCTTATTTGCTGGTTGGTGGGGGTCTTTCTCCTCAGCAGTTCATTCTTTTAAAAACAATAACTTTGGGAAGCAAATCAAGACAAGGATTAAACAGTATACATTTTTTAAAGGAGTGGTTTATTTAATGATGTGAATTACTGATCCCTTGTTTCTGGTGAGAAAGTGCTGTGTCTTCATATATTCATTTTCAGCATATGTAAGTTAACAATATCCTGGCTTTTGGGATGTGTGGAGACTCAGTGGGAGGTTTGAGGAAAAAGAGCTGCAGTTTCATGAGTTCTTATGATGACTCACTCCCTACAGTGTGCAACGTGGCTGAGATAAAAAAGAATCCACATAAGCACTTGTATAGTTACATATATGGAGACTGGACTTCTATCCCCTTGTATAACAGCTTTCTTTTAACACTTGCAGATTCATACTTGTAATAAAAATAGGAGTTGCTATTATGACCTGATCATCAGTGAGTTGTGTAACTGTCATTACAAAATGCTAGCCTTACTAGGAGCTCTTATTGTGAAATTGACAAAAAAATAGGGTAATGCACAATGGTGATCAGTGGAATACAATATTCCTTGTAAAGGTAGGCTAGTATATTCTTTTTTAAAGGGTATCTGTTTGAAAGGGTTATGTTGCCAACAGTTTTGAGGTAGCAGTCTCCGTGCATGTGTTGCCACTAACAGAAAATCTATATTCAGAACCTAAGTAACTACATTATTTTCTATGTAACTCGTAGTTCTCTGGTAAACCAGGAACACTATTGTGGGACTGGTAGTTGGGTTCTGCATAATATTCCTATTATTCTAAAAAAGCCCAGCTAAGTAATTTTTGCTCCTTGAATACAATAAGGTACGGTTACAGTGACCCGGGGGAAAAGACTCACTTGCCTTTTCTTTCTGTTTCAATCATGACATCGTGTAAAATTATTTTTCCTTCAGCACTTGTTGCACTACAGATGTTTTGTTGAGGGCCAGCTAGATGTGGAATAGAAGATTCTAATTCAGCTTCTAATTCTTGGCTTGGTGGTAAAACTTTATGGGTGGCCCTTAAGCAAGTTCGTTTTTCAGCCTATTGTGCCTCTAAAGGTTATTGTAGGTGTAAATGAGGTGAAAATGGTTAAGCCCTACAGAAATGATTAATACTCTTACTTCCTGTAGAGTACTCTCCTCTCCCCTGTCATTTCAAGGAAGGCAGCTGTGACTGATCCTAAAACTTAGGGCTGATATTGATGTGTCATAAGAAGCTCTTGGCAATTTTGAATATTTGCATGTGGAAGATCCAGAAAGCTACTTTGAATATTTCATTATTATTATTATTGGTGCTAATAATATGAATGGGCAGAAAAGTGTGCTTAATGAGTTGATTTTAATAGCATCCTTTTCTGTTTGAAGCATGCAACTGTGACTCAGAAGTGCCATTTTGTTTTTCTGCCCTGTGGTCTTCTGACAAAGCACCATTCTGTATTTAATAGTTTAAATTTCAGCCACGACTTGAAAGATGACGAGCTCTAATATTGTAGCCATAATTGCTTAACTGCTGTGGGAAGCTGGGTGAAAAGCTGCAGAAAAGCTGAGAGCTGAAGCCTTAAGTTGTCACAAGCCTAAACCAAATGAATCATGGGTAGTTCTACAGAACTACAAGCCAATATCTTGCTGGGCTCCTTTGGTTTTTCTGTTGGATTATCTGCTTAGCAATTGAAACAGGAATCAAGTTGTTTGTAAGCTAAGGACATGCTTCATCTTTATTATGAAAAAATTGTAGCAAATACTACCTTTCCTTCCAACGCTGAGTGATCAGTTTTACTCTTGGTGATAGTTTGAACAAATTCTCATGCTAGAAGCTACAAACTGTTGAGAGACGGTTTCTCTTGTGTTGCCAAAAACAGTTTCAGCATTTCACTCTTGAGATAATTAAACATTTCTTTAAGTCTGCTATCCTCAGATGTATTTCTTCAAAGTGCAGTCATACCTCGGGTTAAATATGCTTCAGGTTGAGCGTTTTCAAGTTATGCTGTGAAGCGACAAGGAAGTAATGGAACGCGTTACTTCCGGGTTTCGCCACATGCGCAGACACTCAAAATGATGTCACATGCATACACGGAAGCGGCGAATCGCAACCCGCGCACATGCAGACGTGCAGTCGCGGGTTGTGTTCTACTCAGGATGCGAATGGGGCTCCGGAACGGATCCTGTTCGCATCCAGAGGTACCACTGTAATTTTGTAGGCCTCAAATGGACATCAGTGAGAGCATTTCAAAATATGTACTTTGAGGACTGTAGCTGGATGCAAAAACTCTGGACATAAAGAGAAATAGGCACCTACTTGATAATACTGAAACACAATTTAAAGATTTCCAAAATATTTCTATATGAAGTGATTTCACTGGTTGAAGTAACAATCATCAAGCTAGGCTGTGAGAAGCTGTGTGTCTAACCTGAAAGGTTGATATACCTTAAAGTAGGGGCAGCCTTACTGCCCCCAAGAGGTTGCTGTGGCCCCTCAAATTTACCACTAAAAAAAAGATGTTTAAAACTGGTACTTTTGGTGTCCCACTGTGATGTCACAATTCCAAAAAAAAAACCTTTGTTGCCCCATATTTTTTTAAAAAATATGTTAACTTTTAAAAATATTTTTGGTTTTTTTACGGCTATCCCCATAGGTTCCCAGCTGTGATGCTGTGGTGTTAATTTTTGTGTGGCCTCCCCCCACCTCAACTTCCAAAGTATGACCATTTTTACACTTTGGCCATGCACATTTCAACATACACAGAGGGTTGACCATGGGTCATTCTGGTCCTCAGCTCAAGGACATTTAGTCACCCCTGGCTTAAAGGGTGAACTTATTTGTGTAAGAGAATAGTGGGGGGAGGGGTTAATATTTCACTCAAGCATAACCCACTTAGTTTGAAATTTAGTAAAATAAATAAAAGTTCTTTCTAGCCCCAGCAATACTTCCAAGTAATATGGCCTCTTCACATAACATAGCTTATAGTTACTGTACTTTATCTCAGTGTTCATATTTCCTGCAAGCTTCTGCCACCATATAGCAGCACTATAAATATCATAAACAGTGTAAAATTTGCTCCATTCTAGGGTGAGACCACATAGATGTTTTAACCAAGATTCTATATTTTATGTTGGATACATCATAAAGCATATGGACACATAACTTAATGAATCAACAGCAAATTGAAGAATTTGAATTTTTTTGCTTCTTGTACCCCATGTTTAGTTTTTCAGATTTATTTCCAGACTTTATCTTCAAGTATGAAATGCTCCTCCATAGAGGCGCAAGTTTCCTTTTAAGTTTCCTTTGAGTACATGCACCACTTTGGTAGTTCAATAGCTTTTCTTAAACTTCCCTTTCAAAAACACACACCAGTGAGCTGAAGCCTCAACTCTAAGCTCCTACCAGATACAGTGGTACCTCCGGTTGTGGATGGGAGCCGTTCTGGAGCTCCGGTTGGATCCCGAGGTTTTCACAACCAGAGGTGCTTGTTCTACGCATGCACGTGGTGCAGTAGAGCGCTTCTGTGCATGCGCGCATGACGAAACCCAGAAAAATACTTCCGGGTTTGTCGTGTGTGTATCCCGAAGGATACATAACGAGAGGTGCGCATAACTTGAGATACCACTGTAGTTGAATATCAACTTGCTTGTAAAGAAGAAATTTGAGAACTTTACCAACTAAGAGCCTCTCTTTACTGTGTGTGGGGTGGAGAATTCTTGATGAACCAGAAGCAACATGTTCATAAGGAGATGAGCCTTGCTTCTGGTTTCTCCAGTAGATCAAAAGATTCGTAATGCCTAGTTCTGCCCCTGTATTTTACATTCTGGTGCACAGCAAGCAATTATGAAAGAGTGCACTGTTAAACACTCTTTGTTTGAAAAGCATGTATGGTTTGGGAGTGCTGATATATGGCTTTTCTTTTTCTTTTTTTTCTTCAGGTTTTCACAGAACAAGATGGATGGTAGCTTTGATTGTGATTGTGGTGAGCTGGAGCCACCTGATCATTAACTAACAGCCTCTTTTGTAAGCTGCCTCTTCCTTGACAAACTAAACAAAAGAAAAGAAGAAAGAAAGGAAGAGGAGAGAAAAGTGCTTATTTAACACCATAGAATGAAGCTGCTCAGGACCAGTCCAACACTGAATGTATCTGCACTGTGAGGAGGATGTTAATAGAAGCCTATTACGTGCATATTTATTCACATTTTCGTTAAATGCAGTTTAGCACAGTAGAGTGGAGTCTATAGTATGTCACTTCATTCCGTTTGATTTCCTTGTATTTCCTTTTAATGTCTGCGGATATGCTGCACCTTCCTTGAACTATGAATGCTGCAACCTCTCTATCTTTGCTCAAGTTCTAATTATAACGGGGATACAACGGGCCTGACTGGCAATGCAATGAGAGTGTCAGAAAACTATCGTGCATTCAACCTGAAGTTTTTCTTCTCCTTTTCTGCAAGACCCTTCATATACCAGTGGAAGCATCTGTACATGTTTGCAGAAACTTAGTAGTTTTAAAAGGAAAAAAAACAACACAAAAGAATTTCAACATAATGGCAGAGAAGTTTGAAAGCCTAATGAACATTCATGGTTTCGATGTAGGTTCTCGGTATATGGACTTGAAACCTTTGGGCTGTGGTGGCAATGGCTTAGTTTTTTCTGCTGTCGATAATGACTGTGACAAACGAGTGGCTGTCAAGAAAATTGTCCTGACAGATCCTCAGAGCGTTAAACATGCTCTGCGTGAGATCAAAATTATTAGAAGACTTGACCATGATAACATTGTCAAGGTGTTTGAAATCCTTGGTCCCAACGGAAGTCAACTGACAGATGATGTAGGCTCTCTTACAGAACTGAACTGTGTTTACATTGTTCAAGAATACATGGAGACAGATCTGGCTAACCTGCTAGAGCAGGGGCCATTACTGGAAGAACATGCCAGACTCTTCATGTACCAGCTGCTACGTGGGCTCAAATATATTCACTCTGCAAACGTTCTGCACAGAGATCTCAAGCCAGCTAACCTGTTCATTAATACTGAAGATTTGGTGCTGAAAATTGGTGACTTTGGCCTTGCGCGGATCATGGATCCTCATTATTCTCACAAGGTACGTAAAGATGGGCAATACAATACAGGCATAAAATAAGAAACAAAAGATCCATCAGAATAAAACCAAAGTAAAAGCCAGCAACACTTTGGTGGTGCCAAAGATCTACAAATTTCCTACAAAGGAGCTGCTTGGAGATGTTTACAAAGGGCTTTCAAACCTCTCCATGCTGTTCTTTGGCCTTCCAGAGTTGAGAGGTGAAAATGAAATCACCCCAAATATGTTGCCCTGAGCTCCTTGGAGGAAGGGCAGGCTACAAATGTGATAAATCAAATGCAAGTAAAATTTCTCTTTCTGTAGGGCCATCTTTCCGAAGGATTGGTTACTAAATGGTACAGATCACCTCGCCTCTTGCTATCGCCCAACAACTATACTAAAGCCATTGATATGTGGGCTGCAGGTTGCATCTTTGCTGAAATGCTCACAGGAAAAACTCTCTTTGCAGGTTGGTGGAGAAGGATGGGTGCAAACCTGTCATCCTAAGTATAAGACCTCTGTGTGTTATATTGATGTAGCCAGTAAAACTTCAGTTTGGAGAAGCAAAGAGCTTATTGGAATGAAAGTGGCCAATGCTTTTAATCCATTCATGAATGTTAGTGCCTAGAGGTGTGACATATTAACAGCTGTTTTGAAATCCATAGCAATTCCGTCTTGGAACATTTTAATAGCAAATAATTATATATCAAGATGACCAATAGGTTAGTTGGTACCTGTTTGATACTACAGATTGAGAAATGTACAGGAAAATGATGCAGATCTTTTTCATGATTTCATGTATTGTTTGAACTAATGACTGACAAGGAAATGTTGGAAATGAATGGGTTGTTACAGGGTGGTGTTTCTGTTTGCTTTGGGGGCATTTTAATTTGGAAAATGATAACTCACCACTAAGGTAGAGGAACCTGTTTTTAAGCCAAGAGTTAAACCTAATGGCCAACTAGAGTCTGTAACTAATTAATGGCAGGAAGAGGTAACTTTGATAGCTTTTTCTGGAGTTTGCATGGGAAACGTCTATTAACTCTTTCTAAGGGTAGTAAATGAGAGTCCTGTGAGTAGAGGCTGCAACAAAATGTTCCAGTTTGGGGTGTTGCTGTTCAGGATTCCAGGCATTCCACTGCTTCTTGCCCCCAAGTCAGTCAACTATAGTTCTGTGGCAACTGAGCATGTTCAGCCCCCAGTGGGCTGTTTCTGGGGATCTTGTCCACACACTTAAACCCCTTCCCCCAATGTTTGTTGTACTACTTCTATACTTGGTATTCTTCTATGCCTGTGATGTGTGTGGGTACTGCTACTTTGACTACCTAACTAACTACCCTCTCCCCCTAAAGCCTGGATTTAGTACATAGAGGGACCGATTATGGCATTATAAGGAATTTCTTAGCTGTGTTGATGAATTAATGGGTGTCTGGAACATGGCTGATGTGCTTTTTGCCTTCACATTTAGGTGCCCATGAACTTGAACAGATGCAGCTGATTTTAGAATCAATTCCTGTTGTGCATGAGGAAGATCGTCAGGAACTTCTTAGTGTAATCCCAGTTTACATTAAAAATGATATGACTGAGCCACACAAACCTTTAACTCAGCTCCTCCCAGGCATTAGCCCTGAAGGTAATTTGGCTTCTTCTTTCCTCCCCCCCCCCTTCAGAGAGCTGGTTTGGCAAGAGCGGCATCTACATTTCAGGCTGTTAGTGCATGCCATGAACACTGCCTTCCACACACGTTGGGGGCAAGACAAGCTCTGGTGAATTGTGGATTGAGTTGTTTTTGTGTGTGTCGTATTATACCAGTTCCTGAGTCCTCTTGGGAAAGGGTTGTGTTCTGTGGGAATATCATTTTTCCCCTTGAGCTGTCTGATTTGCTGAGTTAAACAGAAACTCAGTATTCCGTGGAGAATCAGACCAGGCAGTTCAAGGCTGAGAGCTTAGTCCCCTAGTGAATTGCGCTGGTTGGGAAAAAATGTATCATCATGGTGGGTAGTAGAAACCATTGATGGCTGTTACTGCGGACACTATGTATTTTGTCCAAACAAGTCCACAAAAGTGTATAATCTTAGGAAGCTTTTCTTGCGTTCCCGCATGGGGAAGTACTAGTGATTTGTGCCCTAAAAGAGACAAAAGAGCTGTCCTTCATAAAGTTTGCCTATGTAGCTGCTAGGATGTAACTGTTCTCATACTGAACCAGGTGCAAGTAGCTACAGTATTTACAAGCCTGGCATATTTACACCCACCCCAATTATTTCTGTTGTCTCTTATCAGATTCATTGCTGCTTGTAGAAGTGAGCTAAAAACACTACAGTGCTTTCTTTTTGCAATCGTACAAATCATATACTGTAATCTTCTACAAGCAGCAAAGTGGAAGAAGAAGAGTTTGGATTTGATATCCCGCCTTTCACTCCCTTTAAGGAGTCTCAAAGCGGCTAACATTCTCCTTTCCCTTCCTCCCCCACAACAAACACTCTGTGAGGTGAGTGGGGCTGAGAGACTTCAGAGAAGTGTGACTGGCCCAAGGTCACCCAGCAGCTGTATGTGAAGGAGCGGAGACGCAAACCCGGTTCCCCAGATTACAAGACTACTGCTCTTAACCACTACACCACACTGGAGCAAATGAGGTTCCACAATAAGGGAAAGGCAGCAAAAAATAAGAAAAAATCCTTGCTTCTGCATAGTACTGGCATTCTAATCATTTTTTCTGGCTACTAAATATTTGGTTCTAGTGCTCAGAAAATTGAAATAATTAAGACCTGTCCACAAATAATGTAAGCATTGCTTTTGCATTTCATACTTTATCTTACTAGAGAATGACTAAAAAACAAACAAACAGCCAGCTATTCATTTTGCCCTCTTTAGCACTGGACTTCCTGGAACAAATACTGACGTTTAGTCCCATGGATCGATTGACAGCAGAAGAAGCTTTGTCCCATCCTTATATGAGTATTTACTCCTTTCCAACTGATGAGCCCATTTCAAGCCATCCTTTCCACATTGAGGACGAGGTGGACGATATTCTGCTCATGGACGAAAGTCACAGCCACATCTATAATTGGGAAAGGTAAACAGCTTCAAAATCATTCTGTTTGCATGTTGCAACTATGCCTGAAACACCAGCTGATTCCTTCTTTTAACAGTGATGGAATGCTGTGAGGTGGGAGAAGCATTTCCATGATGAGGAGGAAAGGGGTCTTGGAGCATAAATTCTTCTCATTCCCCCCCTCCGCCCCGCCCCCATAAATTAGATTAGAATTTTCTCCATTCTAATTATTATAATTAATTGCTACCATTTGCATGGTGTCCCAAACCACCTACCCCATTAGCTTCAGCTGACCAGCTAAGGGGATAAAAGTCCATGTGCACTGGGTGTTCTGTAGCCAGTTTTGCAACAGAATGATGAGCAGCATCTTGTACATTCCAATGCAAAATATGTATTGGGGAAATAATGTGACTTTCCAGAATAGTGGCATCTTTGTTAATGTACTTCCCCAAATACGTTGACTTCCATTTTATAACCAAGATGTGAATACCCCAATGGGGAGGAAACCTTGCTGTGAGCATTTAGTAAAATTAACATTGTAGTCACTGAAGCATCAGAAATTCGTTATCATAAGAGTTTGCACTTTATAACTCTGATTGATGACACCAGCCAATATTTGGAACCATTATCTAAATGTAATTTTGAAACAGTTCTCAAACTGTTGCTGTTTCAGGTTAAAGCTAAATGCTGCAGTTAAAAAAAAAAATTTTTTTTTTTTGAGAGGATTGTTGGGAGTCAAGGTTCCTCTTCTCCCTTCTGCTAAGAAATCTGCAACTGAAATAGGACACTGAAATGTTAACATCACCTTAAATGAAGATGCAGTCCTTTCACAAATTGTATGCTAAGGAATGAGTTCTGCTGTCACTGACAAAAGCTTCAAAATTAAAGCTTTCTGAAGAGTGTGGAAAGTTGCCACTTGACTTGCCATACCATTGAGTCTAAAATGAGTGGCTATTCATAGTTTTCATTGCTGTTATCTCTCTTGACTCTTCTGCACTATGTAAGCAAGTGGATGCCTGTAATTTACTAACATAAGCCGTTAATATTACAGATATCATGACAGTCAATTTTCAGACCATGACTGGCCTAGTCATAACAATTTTGAAGCTGATGAAGTCCAGCGTGATCCAAAGGCTCTTTCTGATGGGACTGATGAGGAAGAAGTACAAGTAGACCCTCGCAAATATTTGGATGGCGATCGTGAAAAGTACCTAGAGGATCCAGCGTTTGATACCCACTTTTCCACTGAGCCTTGCTGGCAGTATCCAGATCATCATGAAAACAAGTACTGTGATCTGGAATGTAGCCACACTTGTAATTACAAAATGAGGTCCTCTTCATACCTAGATAATCTGGTCTGGAGAGAGAGTGAAGTGAACCATTACTATGAGCCCAAGCTTATCATAGATCTTTCCAACTGGAAGGAGCAGAGCAAAGAGAAGTCAGATAAAAAAGGCAAGTCAAAATGTGAAAGGAATGGATTGGTGAAAGCTCAGATAGCTCTTGAGGAAGCCTCCCAGCTTGCAGAGAAGGAGAAGAATCAAGGGTTTGATTTTGATTCGTTTATTGCAGGAACTATTCAGCTTAGTTTGCAGCACGAGTCAACTGATATTGACAAATTAAATGACTTGAATAGCTCAGTGTCCCACCTAGAGTCGAAAGGCATATCCAAGTCAGTAAGCAGAGAGAAGCAGGAGAAAGGAATGGCCAACTTGGCCCAATTGGAAGCTCTTTACCAAAATTCATGGGATGGGCAGCTCGTAAATGGTGGGGAGGAATGTTTCCTCATAGACCAGTTTTGTTGCGAAGTCAGAAAGGATGAGCAGATTGAGAAGGAGAATCCATACACCAGTTACCTGGACAGGTTTTTTAGCAAGAAGGAAGATGCTGAGATCCTAGAAAGCGAGCCAGTAGAAGATGGGAAGCTTGGGGAGAAAGAAAGAGAGGGGAGCTTTTTAAGCAATAGTGGGGAATTTCTCTTTAACAAGCACCTTGAAGCGATAGGTATTCCTCAGTTTCACAGCCCCGTTGGGTCACCACTTAAATCCATACAGGCCACGCTAACGCCGTCTGCTATGAAGTCATCTCCTCAGATTCCCCACAAGACATACAGCAGCATTCTGAAACACCTAAACTAAACGGCAGACATTTCTTTTTGTATTCATGAAATGTGTGTTCTTTTTTATTGTAAGTAATTTTTTTACTTGAAATCAGATAATGTTAACTTTGGTATGAATTTCCTTAGTTTTCTGTTTACCATTGTTTTTACAATCCAGAATTACTTTATTTACATGACAATTCTTTTTTTTTAAACTGGCATGTCATTTGCACACAAAAGTAAAGAACAGAGCAAAACAATGCACATTGCAGGAAGAAACAAGAAGAAAATGCACTAAACCAAGTAGAAACACTCTTCAGTTTAAACAGTTCATGCTTTGCAGAGGAAAAAATAAGAATCTTGCCTTGAAAATTACACAGTGAGACTATACATATTTGCATGAAAATATCTATTTTTCCCTGAAACATTTTCATTCATATGTATTTTAGAATTTTTCATACTGTACACATTTCTTAGACACATGATACCAGCAGCAACTGAAAAATAAATGCAGAATTTGGTACGCATGTGTTATCTACCTCAAGGTAACAGCAGTATGTGGCAAAACATTAACCACCCATAGTGCTTTTCATAATGCACATCTATTTAGCCAGCATTATTGTAGTAGGTGGTATGGAGAAATCATTCAATATTTATAAATATTCTGGTATGCCTTCTTTATAGTGGAAATGTTAATATGCAGCGTTTTATTTATTTTAGCAAATTATATTTTCTGTCATGATAGAAAGTAAAAAAAAAAATTGAACTTGCTTTACAGATAAAGTTCTTGTTAGCACTGTGGTTTATTGCCTACATAGCTGAAATAGAGATGAAATAACATCCCCTTATTCTGAGGTGATCCATATGAGTTTTTAAAGAGATTTCACTTCAAGTAAGGCACTCACTGTGTATAGGAATTTGCAATTTGGAGGTGCTTGATCTCTCTCTACAAAGAAATTAGGAATTGTTTTATTATAAAATGCTCCTAGAAGTCTTAATTGTGTTAATTTTTTAAGAACAATTTTTGTAATGTTAGTTGTGTGCATGGAAGCAATTAAGGTACAACATTACTGTAGGTTGAAAGTTCTATATGGCCAGACATTTTGTTTTTACTGTATGTTTTTACTGAATGATGCCCTTTGTCTCATCCCCAAAGCAAGCATGAGTATAATTAGGTTAAATGTAGCATGTAGCATCTCGGTCTTCTGACAGTTTGTTTTGCCTTCTGGGTTTTTGTTGTTTTTGTTTTTGGGAAACTATGTATCATTGGCACCCCTGTTTTAAAGAGAAACAAATAAAAACATGGCCAGCAAAAATTATTCTTTTGTCTTGACATGGGAGTGCTTCAGATAGCCTTGAGTAATTGCAAGACATGAGCATTAATCAGTTTCAAGCTTGTTCCCAGGTCTAGGAAATGACAATTGTAGCGGGGTAAGGAATTAAAATGGAAACATTTCCCCCTTGTGTGTGCTGTTTTTCATACAAAGCATTTCAGGCAAAGCATGCCATTTCCAGCATTTTCTGCAGGAGGAGAAAGCTCTGACCTTTCTACCTGTGACTCTTTCATTCTAATCTTAAACCAAAAAAACGATGGTGTATTCAAAATTGGGATAGCTATGTAATGCATAGCCCCCTGCATTGCAAAAGCAAAATAACTGGAGACTTGTTTCATACAAGTAAAAAGTTATCCATCTTGCCATTACTTCATCTTTTATATTCATCTTTTATATTGTGAAGTTGCATGGATTTTGCTCCAAAGCATCGGTGCAGGGAGCGGGTGTCCACCTTTTACAGCTATAATGAAACAGATTGATTGAAGGTACAGTGTTGTAAAACCTGTTAACAGTTCCCTAAGGTATTTATGTAATGATTTTCCTTTCTAGTTTGTGTCTGATCAAGACGTTAGTAAAAGCAGACGATTTTTATTTTTTGTTTTTTGGGGGCTCATGCTAATACTGTATTTACTGATTCGTTCCAGTTAATGCTAATGTGCTTGGCCCATGCCATGAGAATGCATGTGATATATTATTGGCTTTGGTGTGTGAAGTGTGCAGTTTCCTGGTCCTCGACATAAGTAGTAATCAGAAACCACTGGAGTCTGTTTCCCAGTTCTGCTTGGCATCTGACCAGAAGCTTACATTTTAATAATTCTGAGCATGAGAAGAATGTGTGAGAATATTCTTCAGCAAGGTTAGGAACAGTAGGCTTTTAGCCATTTCACACAGTTCCTCTTCTGGTCACTGAAGAGTTCATTTTTATGCAGCAACGTTACTTGGACCTTTGTCATAAGGCTGTTTGGGGAGACAGCATGCCATGTCTAACACAAGATACGGTTTAAGTGCCCTGGTAAACCAAAATCCATCCCAAGCGTGTGGTCAGAAAACTACTGGTTTGGCTGACTTCCTGTGGCAAATGAGCTAAATACCCTGTGTATTGCACCCCTAGCAATAACTTCTTTTCAACATTATTCCCACACCAGCATAGCATGCTCCCTTTCTCCATTCTAACTTACTAAGACTTACATTCTGCTTGCAAAAGGTGACTGAAGTTTCCACCAGTCTCCCTTTCCGCTGATCAGAGGAAAAAGTGGTAACAGTCCTTTATAGAAACCTTTAAAGGACCTTTAATGTTACACCATTTCTGAAAGGTTGATTGTGTGTTTGCCAGATCTTCGCTCTGGTGTAATGATAACAGCCTTTGTATAAACCCTCCCGCTCCCAGAAGTAAAAGATAAAGTTGAGAATCATTTAGAGCAGGGCTACTCTTAGAACTTACGTAACAGAATGTATCCATTACAAAACAGATACTGACCTTTCTATCTCTTGGAGCTGTTGAGAGAAGGAACTTTAGAACAAAGTAACTAACATACTTAAATGTCCATGGAAACATAATATTCTTGATGCAATGAATGCCATGCAATCAATATGGCTCCTACTAGGAAATCCTTATTTTTTTCTTTGTTTTAGAAACAAGACCAGTACAGTAATGGTAAAAGCCACCTACGGTGTGCCATGAAGTGTGCAGTTTGCCCACTAACTTGCAGTTCTCACACACAATCCTCACACCCCTTTTCGGATCTTCTGACATCGAGACCTGAATGCGCACAATTTGGTAGCCCAAGAGTTAACAAGGGCATCAAACATAAGCATAAATTTTCATGTAGCAAAACAGAATTGGGATATTAATTAAATAGAACCAGTAAGCAGCACACTTAACTGCTAATTTTCATAGAGTTAAAAACTAATTATATTCTTAAAAGCACACATTAAAACTAGGATGCATGCAGTAAGAATTGGAACAAGAAATGGGAGAGGATGTTTGCTAAATGGAGGGAAGCAGAAGATCTGGCTGGAGGGGATATCAGAAGGAAAACGCTGATTTTTATAAAGCTATAGGAAAGCTTTTGGCTAAGAATCAGAAGGAATTAGGTGGGAGGCTTGGGTGCAATGATCTGAGTGCCCCAGTTCTGGGTTTGTTTGTTTTTTCAGTGGATGGTTATAAGTAGTGGGGGGAAATAATCAAAGATATTGGGTAAGAAAGAGAGGGCAGCAGCCAAGGGAAAGAACTGATCATCCCAAGATAGAGGGAGCTGATTACACTTGAAAGCAGAAGAGGAACTTGGGATGAGGGAGAGATGGGATAAAGATTGGCTGAGCCCTAAGGGGACTGGAATTAAGAATAAAGGGCAAAGGGGCAAAAGGGACCAAGCAATAAATGATAAGATGCCTGGGAATGTGGGGTGAGCTGTTTTCAGGGCTTCATTCAAAAAACAGGATGCAAATCCAGTAGACACATAAAACACATTATAATAATTTTTTAAAAATTAAAAACAGCAACACTCTAATCTCTAAAGGCAGCTATCTTTTTAAAAAAAAATTAAAAAAAGCCTCTTCCAATATGAACTAGTCTGAAAAATGCCTGCCATGTGCTTGACAGCACCAAAGAATTGCTTCAACTGTGTTTTCCTTTGCACTTCACTAATTATAGTTTTGGTGTGACCAAAATCATACGAAAAGACTAACAGATTTATTATGACTCACGTGTTGATTTAAGCGAAGATTTACGCAGGGTGTGCTTTTGCAAACTGGTACGGCAGCATTTTCGGAAATGACTCGGAAGCAGATGGGTTTGTTTGCTTAAGTTTTGCTGACGGTCTGTCGCTCTCATTCAGTGACGGTTTGAGTGGATTTCAGGGCGTCTTATTTATTGCCTCCTGATTTCCTCTCTGCTGTTTGCCAAAAGATCAAAATGAGGCAAAAGTCTTCTGTGGAATTTGCATTTTGGTCAACCACCCAAGGGAGAGAAGGAGGCTGAGTGGATGGAAGGGAATGAGCGGGCAGGCAGGCTCAAATCTAGGAGGAAATGTCTCCACTGTGTCAACAAGGGGTTTTGGGGTCTTTATTATGTTTAAAACCTATCTTCTCTCCCCACATTAGCTCCCAAAGCACTTAATATGGGGCGAGGAACCTACTTTACCCAGAGGGCCCCATTCCCTTCTGAAATGCCAGTGGTGGGTGGAGTCAGGGGCAAAAGTGGGTGGAGCAATGTATGTAAATTTTACCTTTGTACAGTAGACTAGTTTCTGCACACTCTCTCACACACCCCTCTATCTCCCATCCAGGTAATTAAAAAGCACTATCAGAGTTCAGGCAAAAAATACTCAAAGGGGGTGCAAATCATGGCTGGTGGAGAATGTGGCTTGGGAGGTTTGTGACCAAAGGCCCAAAAAGAGAAGCCTGGAGGAGCTTCATTAACTGAGAACCTCAAAATTTTGGATCCCTTCCAAGCCGGCTGTTCCAATCAAACATGCTATATTTGCTTGCCTCAGTTGCTTGATTTTTCTGTGTTAAACCACCTGTTTTGAATATCAGCTACCCAGTTTGAAGGCGCTAAAAATGTGGGGTTTGTGCTACAAAGCCCTACAGAAGTTTTAGCACTGGTTTGGAGGCGATCCACAATTTTGGGGCCCATACTTCCTGAAGCTGCCTGGAGGGCTGTGTTGGGCCCCTAGGCCTGAGGTTCCGCAACTCCTGATCTAATGGTTAAAGTCCACACAGACGTACACTATAATGAATGATATGTTGATATGTGTGTGGTAAACCTGGGCATTTTGTGGTACAGCTGAGCTTCAAGGCTGAGTTTTGGTTTTTTACAAGGCTCACTTGTATGTTTGGACTGTATGTGTTACCCTGCCACTGAGTCACTGCAGTCAGCTCTTGCAGGGCTCAAATTAGGGCGGCTGGAAGAGAGAGATGCTGGCTCAAAGGACATTGGTTCCAGATAGCCTTGAGCTGCAGTGTAGGTGAGTTCATAATCTGCTCATCAGTCCTGAACTCTGGTTCACTTCCATTACTTGGCTAAGACCACAGGGAATCAGGAGATCATGCCGTGATGAAACCTGTTGCATGTGGAAGAGCAGCCGATCTTGAAAAGCGAATGACGAGAGAGTAGCCTGAGGCTGGCTGCAGCAGAGAGGTGAAAGATAACAGCCTTGGGGGGCATTGGCCTGTAACTGGTGCGTCAAGATTCAAAACAGGGTCAGGGACAACTGCAGGATAGAAATGTACCAAGCACACAACCGCCATTATCTTTTAAGGAGGAGATGCTGGATGAGGCTGATGGGAGTTGCTATCCCACAACATCTGGAGGGGCACATATTCACCACACCACCCCTATTCTAAAGTGAAACCTTGGGAGCTTCCCTGTCCCTGTATGGCGAGAGTGAAATAGGTCACTGCCCGCCTTCTAGAGGCTGACCTTTTCCAGAAGTCTCAGGTGGCTGTTCCAAGTGTCACATCCACAGGTTGAGTCATCCTTAGAAGTTGCTAAATATATTTCCTTAGTCACAGCAAGCTTTCAGCATTTGCGGATCTGCTGGCTGAGCGAGCTCTCCTCCTGCCGCAGGTGAGTGGGAAAAGATGCTGGGTGTTGCAGAGGAAAAATTAAAATAGTGTTTAGCGGGGGTGGAATAGCAGAGTTTAGAACACATCCCTTGGAACACATACACATCCATTAAAAGCACATTTGATGCACATATAAAATACATGACTTCCCCCAAAGAATCCTGGGAAATCCTGGTTTCCTCCTCAGTTACAATTCCCAGCATTCTTCACTAACTATACAGTTCCCAGGATTCTCTGGGACAAGTTATATGCTTTAAATGTTTGTTGAATGTGCTTTAAATACGGGGTATGAATCTGCTCTGTGACTCCCACTGTGTGGCTTTGAGTATAACCCAGCACAGTGAAATATAATCTGAATAGCTCAGTTCTAAAGGCCTCAGGCCATTCATCAGGGACCAGATTGATTCATTGACACT